TTTAGAACTCAACCTGTTGCATTCAACTTTTCCTCATGTCTACAAAAACTCCCCCAGAATAATAGTTATGATCTAGATGTAGGCTTCGTTAGCTTTGTTAACTGCTCTCCCGTTCACAATCACAGTTCCTCCCTTTGCCCCGCTCCTGGACGAGTGTTTGTATGTGGAGGCAATATGGCCTATACAGCTCTACCTTTAAACTGGACAGGATTATGTGTTCAGGCTAGTATTCTCCCTGACATTGATATTATTCCAGGGGGAGAACCTGTCCCCCTACCCAGCCTTGATTACATTGCTGGACGCAGTAAGCGGGCTGTCCAATTTATTCAGGTACTATCAATGATCTCCAAGACCAAATTGACTCCCTAGCAGAAGTAGTTTTACAAAATAGAAGAGGATTAGATTTACTTATAGCAGAGCAGGGAGGAATATGTTTAGCCCTACAGGAACGCTGCTGTTTTTATGCCAACAAATCTGGAATCGTCTGAGACAAGATAAGAAAACTCCAGGAAGATCTGGTGAAAAGGCGAAGAGAGCTGTTCGAAAACCCCCTTTGGAGCGGACTACTGTTAATTTTAACCTTTGGTCCATGGGCTTTTAAGAAACTGACAAGTTTTGTCAAACAGCAAATTGATAGCATCCTGGCCAAACCCATTCAGGTTCACTACCACCGTTTAACTACTATAGACCGAGAATGTGATTGTGATTGCCAGAGCTCCCTCCCCACGGGGACAGCATAAAGCCAGAGGAATGCTTACCTACACTCTATATAGAGGTATGGTATGGGCACCGTCTGGGTGCAGGGCAAAGCACTGCAAGGGAAGGTCAAAACAGAAAATCAAAATTTTCTCGACCGCCTCTGGATTTCTCTGTGAGCACACCTGGTTTGCATAGAGGTTGGTATCCATACATATATAATTGTTGGCTCTGCCTCTCCTCCCCAAAAGATACCAAGAGCCACCAGAGGTGAGATCTGCTGATCTCATGGGAGGAACCAGGTCACTACTCCCCCAGTCGGTTAATGCCCACCCTTAACTAAATGGTAAGGGAGGAATTGTTGGGAGCCATTATAAATCACATATACATCTCCAGCTTACAACAAGAGGTTTCTGGCTCCTCCAAGCCAACTCCCGATTTGGCCTGGAGTTAAAAGTTAACCTTGCAATTTAGCCTGGAGTTAAGAAATAACATACCCTCACCCTAAGCACAAAGCTGCGACATTCCAAAGTCTGTTACATCCTTAACGACTTCCTTTGCCCATCCTCTAGAAACAGTATAAATACCACTCGCTGTAAAGAATAAAACTGAGGCTTGATCAGAACTTTGTCTTGCCTCCATTTCTTCGCGTCTCCTATCCTCTCATTCCTTTGCAGGATTTGGTGCGGTGTACCCACGAAGCGTGCCCTGCAGGTCGGGGCAAAACTCAACTCATTAAAAACTGAAGTCTTGATTCGGCAATGTAGCAGGATACAGAATTAATGCCAAGAAATCTATGGCATTTCTATACACCAATAGTGAACTTGCAGAAAGAGAGACTAAAAAAGCAATCCCATTTACCATCGCACCAAAAAAATTAAGCTACCTAGGAATAAACTTAACTAAAGAGGTAAAAGACCTCTACTCAGAAAACTACAGGACGGCCGAAACCGGTTTGGCTCAGTGGATAGAGCGTCGGCTTGCGGACTGAAGGGTCCCAAGTTCGATTCCGGTCAAGGGCATGTACCTGGGTTGCGGACACATCCCCAGTGGGAGATGTGCAGGAGGCAGCTGATCGATGTTTCTCTCTCATCGATGTTTCTAACTCTCTATCCCTCTCCCTTCCTCTCTGTAAGAAATCAATAAAAAATATATTAAAAAAAAAACAACTACAGGACGTTGAAAAAAGAGATAGAGGAAGACATAAAGAGATGGAAGAACATACCATGTTCTTGGATTGGTAGAATCAACATCATTAAAATGTCCATTCTGCCCAAAGCAATCTATAAATTCAACGCACTTCTCACTAAAATACCAACGGCATATTTCACAGACCTAGAACGAACTCTCCAAAAATTCATCTGGAATAAAAAACGACCCCGAATAGCTGCAGCAATCCTGAGAAAGAACAAAGTAGGTGGGATCTCAATACCAGATATCAAGCTGTATTACAAAGCCACTGTTCTCAAAACTGCCTGGTACTGGCACAAGAACAGACATATAGATCAATGGAATAGAATAGAGAGCCCAGAAATCAGCCCCAACCAATACGCTCAATTAATATTCGACAAAGGAGGCAAGAACATACAATGGAGTCAAGATAGTCTCTTCAATAAATGGTGTTGGGGAAATTGGACAGATACATGCAAGAAAATGAAACTAGACCACCAACTTACACCATACACAAAAATAAACTCAAAATGGCTAAAGGACTTAAATATACGATGGGAAACCATAAAAATACTAGAGGAATCCAAAGGCAACAAAATCTCAGACATATGCCGAAGCAAGTTCTTCACCGATACAGGCTCCTAGGGCATTGGAAACTAAAGAGGAAATAACAAATGGGGACTACATCAAAATAAAAGTTTCTGCACAGCAAAGGAACCATCACAAA